GCCGGCAAGCTCGCCCAGCTGCACGAGGCCGGCTGGAGCACAGCGGGTGAGGACCCCGTCGTCAACGAAGCGTCCCCCCGGGCCCAAGGCGTGTTCACGCAGGACTTTCTCACCCTGGTGCCGCGCCAGAACCTCAATACGTTCTACTTTGCCGCGTTCGATTTGCCGTTCAATCCGACCGAGATTGAACGCAACTTTGGCATTCACGATGTGAATCGCACGTTAAAGCCAGGGGTGGAGGCCGTCCACGTCGGCGCGCCGCTCCAAGCGGTCCGCCTCTGGGCCGGAGACAACGTGATCAAGGCGCACCGCTACTGGAACGCGAACGACTCGGTCAACGAGAACTTTGGCGGCGTGTATGCTGCGAAGCCGTCTGTCGGTCCATCGGGGCTTTTGGACGACGAGATCTGGCTGTGGGACAAAGACTCCAGCATCTTGTACTCCAAGAGCTCGAATCAGTGCTTGGAATCTACTGGCGAGGACAACGACACGCAGAACCTGCACACGTCCCCCTGCTCCAAGGACAACCGTGATCAACAGTGGAGTGTCGCGAACGGCAACATTGCGAGTCAGAACGATGCCAAATTTTGCATCGACGTGAACCGCCCAACGACCCCCGACGGGAACCTCGTGGTCACGGTGTCTCCGTGTAACAAGCAACCGACCCAGTCGATCTCGATAGTCCCGGCGACCGACGAACCCCTTGAGATTGGCATCAAGACGAACGGCGACGGGCTGACTGTGTTCCCCGGCGGAGTGAAGTTGCAATCCACTAGCCATCCGCACCGTCAGAGCCACCAGTGGTTCTACGATCCCGTCATTCAGAGCATTAAGAGCAAGTCCTCGAGCCAATGCTTGGACGCGCCCAAGGGCGTGAACGATGGACCTGTGGTCTTGGCCAATTGCGATCCCAACAACGTCAACCAGAAGTGGGTCTTGAACGACTTCACGGGCCAGATCCATCATGCAACGCACTTTGGGTTTTCCCTCGGCGCCCCCGACGACGTTGACGGACTCGTGCGCTTGTTGTGGAGTGACAAAAACAACGTCAACCAACACTGGAACATCAAGCCCGTCAAGGCCAACGCGTAGGCAGGCAGCTTGGAGGCACGCACGCACATGCATGATGGAATCGTTGGAGCATCAAGGCCGTCAACGCCAACGCGTAGGGCAGCTTTGAGGCATACTAGGGTGCATGAATATATCGTTCATTCCAAGAGTGTGTGTGTTGTCCCTGAAGCATACATTTACATCAAACCGACAAATTAGACGTTGGTGATTGGATACCCGACACATTATGGAATTTTGATTGGTCAGTTATTCTTAGACAATCCGATTTGGCGATGTAGTTGTCGTGGAAGCAACATATCGTTCACATTGAACATATACGGCTTTCTATTGGTTGAAAACACACGTCGGATCGACATCGAATTGCATGCTGGCCGGGAATTACATGAATCACCTTTATGCAGGATAACTGGGCGAATACGACGATTCTATCCGGCATTAGTCTTATTGGTTAAAAGTAGAATTCTTCTTAGGCTTTCATTGGTAGATGACTCTACATTTTCAATACAAAGACCAAATTTCGTATGTGAGTCACCGACAAGGTGAGGACATGAACAATGAGGATACGAAGTGGTTCCGGGTGCCACGTGTATTGCGTGCAGAGGCTGCAACATGGATTCGCACCCTTCCTCACAGTTCAAGTCCTGACAAGGTGAGGGCAAGAAGTGTGGTCATGCCGAGCCTCTGCACGCAATACCCGTGGCACACGGGGCCACGCGTGTCATCAGGTCAAACTCCTTCGAGCCCCAGTCCAGTGGCCCTGGTAACACCCTGTTCCTACGAATTCACAGAGGTGTAAATGCCGTGTTCGTCGGTGGACGATCGTTCAGCCTGTCTAAAGATGTCGTTTATGGATGCACATCAAGCACAACACCTACTTCTACTAGTCAAAACTCGTCACCTTGTTTGTTGAGCTCTGATCGACTTACAGTAGCTTTGTAAGTCTTGGCAATAGTGATGTCGATCCGACGTGTGTTTTTCAACCAATAGAAAGCCGTATATGTTCAATGTGAACGATATGTTGCTTCCACGACAATTACATCGCCAAATCGGATTGTCTAAAAAATATCTGACCAATCAAAATTCTTATTTATGGAATTCGTAGTGAGATTGCCTACGATTTCATATTTAACCAATGAAAACACTCCTGTACAATGATTGGATAATTCAATCACAAATCCATGTTCATCGCGAAACACTATTGAGAATCAAATGCAGGCTCATGATGATACGAGTACTATTAGTACAATTATGCGACGAGGGAATACCATAGTCATGTAGTACTAACGCTATGGTAATATTTTCGACATCAATGTTGACTTTAAGCATCCATGCCGTCACCACGACCCTGCCGCTTGTGAGGCATCAGTTATCGTTGGACGACTCCAACGTGCCTCTAATCTGAAGAGTTGCAAAAAGAGGTACTAGTAATTTCCGATTTAAATATACCGAATAAACTTAGTACTACTACTTCGAGTACATACATCGTTAGCACTATACTAGTATACCGAAATGTACAGAAGAATTTAGCCAATCAGTCTACAGGACACCATCATCAACCTCGAATTAGTGTGTGACTTAAATTAGTGTGATTATAATCACCAATGGGCAACTTCTTACGTACTATAATATAATAGTATAAAATTGGCGAATCCGCACAAAAGTCCAAATTTGGGTAAATGGTCAATATACTACTAACACCATTTATCGATTATGTTCAGGTTATCTCCGGTATATTTCGTCCGACGCGCAACTGATACACGCCATGTGCGTTATGTTCGCTGAACCTTCGATATAACCATTCGTTGCAGTATATTTCGACTAATGTCCGGTCCAGGCGGTATATTTCACACATTGTTCAATATATTTCAAATGATGTTCCATCGATTTCGATTTTCGAAGCAAATCAAGTACTCCATCGCAGGTGGTGAATACTTGTCTAAATCGTAGATATTGTGCTTTCGAGCTAAATTTGGTATTTTCGGTTGGCGATGCGCCGGATACGCCTGTAATTTGATTGATCGAAAGTTTTTTTTCGAAAATTTCATTGGCTACTTCGTTCAGTCGATTACTGCGTCGACTTATCGAAAAAGATATAACATCATTTGAAATTTATTGAACAAAGTGTGATATACCCGCTGTGGGGTGACATATACCGGACATTCGTCGAAATATAATGCAAAGAAGTAGTAGGTTCTGGACGAAATATATTAAATGTTTGGTGAACAAAACGCACATGGCGTGAATCAGTTGTGCGTCGGACGAAATATACCGGAGATAACCTGAACTTAATCGATAAATGGTGTAGTACTGTAGTACAGTACTGGTATACTATTAATAGTATTGCTTATCGATATACAATCCAGTTTATCATACACTGTAAGTCGAGCCAACTAACTCCCTCGCGTATCTCCATCGACTACCACGACGACAAATCTATCGACGACTAGTGTTGATCTAGTGCTACTATCCACGTGCTTTGGCAGCTAGTGGTCGTCGTCCACGCGCACCGCATACACGGCCGAGTCCATTCGAATGATGTGCGACGGGTCGGCGCGGAGGACGGTGCCGCCGTACGCGCCGTCGACGGCCCATGTCCCGAGCTGGACGTTCCCTCTATCTCCATAGTTGGGAAGAAGCGCAAGCTCCTGGTAGATGGGCGTGTCGGCGGCCCACTGCCCCTCCGACGCCACAACGGTGGTGCCATCCGCAGCGACCAGCGACACGTTTTCACCGGCGCGACCAGCTACCGGTTTCTTGACGTAGCCCGAGAGCTCGAGCTCTGGCGTTAGCGTAAACGACGAGCGCAGCAGCATCGGGTGGTTGGGGTACAGCGTCGTCAAAACAGGTAAAATCGCTTTGGAGCTGGCGAGGACTGTCCATAGCGGCTCAAAGATACGCACAGACGGATGCAGCAGCACGTCCACGAGGTGGACGGCGGTCGTGCGCGCCGGACGCAACTTGGGCGTCGTGAGGCCCTTGGGGTCGGCGACGTCGTCCATGAGGAAGTGCTGCCAATCGTCGTCATCCAACTGATCGATCGCCGTGCGCCACGACCATGTCTTCCATACATTTTGCACGACAATGCCGCCATCGTGGGCAGTGTCGACGATGTCTTGTCTATAGGGTGGGGGGTACATGGACGGACGGAATCAGACGTTAAATATCGTCACCACAGAATCAGAACAAAATAAAAAACACGGTACGTCGATGGAATCAGAATCAGTTTGGTCGGAATCAGACTCGCAGAATCAGCCCTCCTTGACACACCACCCACGGTACTTCAACAATCGTTCGCCGTATATCATGCGAAGAAACGTCATCTCAACAAGGCAAACTCGATACAATATGTACCCGATTCGATGCAGCGTGTGCACCCCCACGACCACATAACACGTGAGTCCCGCCGCTTCCGCTGCCGCCTTCATGTACTCGGTGTGGTATCGTTCTTCCGGGTCCGTGTCGCAGAGTAGGTGCAGGGGCCCTTGCACGTTCTTGTGCACCCATCCTTGCTTGAGTTTCTCGAATAAAGCGCTGCTGTTGGACCGACCGGGCACGCCCGCGGCCGCCGCCCACGCATCTTGGTTGTACCCACACTCCATGAGACAGGACGCAGAGTCGGCGTTGTACTCGTACACTTTGATGCCTGACTCGGTGAGCGTAAAATCGAACCGCCCGGCGAGCGCGTCCGGCTTGCGACGGAACCACGACCGTCGGATGCGCGGCCACAGTGCCGACGGGAGGCGGAAGTGGGGACCGAGTTCCTTCTCGTGGTGTAGGACGTAGTCGGTCGCGTCGAGGAACATGTGATGCAGGTGCTCTGTTGCGTACTCGAGCGCTGCTTGGCCGCGGGGCGTGAGGCGGAAGTACGCGGAGGATGGAGATGACGCGAGGGCAGAACCAAAAGCGGATTCGAAGGCTTGGACAAACGGCAACGTATGGTCCATCCATGGGGCGGCGACTTGCGCCTATGGAATACAATACCGGTATATATATATATATATCTTTATATTCGGAGCGTCGTGATTCAAGGTGATAACAAGTCGTCAAAAATACATATATTTGTATATATATATATATCGTATCTATCATATTTGTATATATTATATCGTATCTATCATATCTATCATAGATATCATATGATATATGTGTAATATAGTATATATATGTATATATATCGGAATCGGAAAAAGCTCGAACAAGCACGAAACCGATGTACTTGTATGTGTTTGCGACAACAAGTGAACACGATCGCGATATTTACTTGGCATTCTGGATGACATAATCTGCCATTATATATATATATATATATAAATACATCGAAGTATCGGACTTATGAGGAAGAATCGATTCAACGAAAACAGCATACGACCATAGAATACCGATGAGACGGCGACGACGAGCGAAACACTTACATCGGTGAGGGTGACGTTGTGAAGATGGAGGTCCTGGGAAGGCGTGGCGATGGGTACGTCCTCGTAGTTGTATTCGGTGTGCATGTCCACCGTCATCCAGCCGAGGATTGACGAGTCTGGGAACGTGCATGTGATGGAGTACGCGCCCGTGACTTCGTCTAAGTCGGCCTTCAGCCGCCGCGAGTACTTGACGTCGGGAGGCCAGATGGTGTCATCCACGTTCTGCTCGACAATGTCCACGTAATCCACCTGGACGTTGACAATCACGGCAATGTGCCCCGTTTGCACAAACTCACCCACGGGGTTCCAGATCAACAACGATCCCTTCACCGGCAACTCGGTCGACTCACCGTTCACGTTGGCGAGCATGGGTACCAACTGGCCATCCGCGACACGACGCACCGTCTTGAGTCGAAAGATGTCGTACGCCATGGCAATGTTGTCGTAGATCACGCCAAAGTTCACGAGCAGGTACCGCCGACCGAGCTCGACGCACTGCCACTTGTACCCTGTCGTGACGCCGTTATATTCGTTCTTGAAGCTCGCACGGTCTAGCATGTCGGGTGGAGGGAGCGTTGAGTAGTCACAGTTGTACACTTCCACGCCGCCATCGGTGATGCCAAGAACAGTGCCGAACGGAACGGCAACCTCGTCGTCGGAGGCGGTCGAGATGTTCATGGCCCCACACAAGAATGAATGTGGCAAATGGTGAAACTGAGGAATTCTCAATCCTTCGAAAACTAATTCGAATTTCTGGTAAAAGAATAAGTAGTAATACTGTACCAGTACTATTAATAGTACTATTTTATTAGTAGTACTACTGTACGTAGTAATACTATTAAAATAATATTAATACATGAGAAATACTATTATTAACAGGCGAATACTAGTGTTTTGAAATATTTTTAAATATTTCAAAACACTAGTAAAGTACAGTGCTGTAGTTTACTCCGGAGTACAGTCCGACGCGAAAGGTTATCACCACCATGTTTTTCTCAATTTTTTTCCAAAGTATTGAAAATTAAATTAATCCAAAAACATGCCCAGATTTGTATACTAAAAACAAGCATTTCTAGCTTTGAATTGCAATAAAGTTCAAAATATTGAGTGAGGAGTGAAAAAAAATACGTTTTTACACCGACGCAAAAGGTTATAACCACTGAACAACCCCATCAGTTCGCCCACGATAATAAAAGAATTGATACGATAATTCACACGCAAATCCATTACTAGTATTTAGTTGTCATTCCGTTAGCCGCAACAACACTCAGGCATCTCGATTTCATGCTAAAAATCAGAGTTTGAAGGTACGAAACCTCCAACGAGTTCCAATGACGCATAATTGAGGCTTTGAGCTCTTCTTTCGTGTCATACTGCTTCCCGCCAGCATACACTTGCTCAACAAGATATCCCCAAATATTCTCGATGGGGTACAAGTCGGGAGACAACGCTGGCCAGTCCATAACCACAACACCTTGTTCATCCAAAAAAGCTTTTATTGCGTTGGCAGTGTGAATGCTTGCATTATCTTGCTGGAAAACGAAATCAGTGCCAAAACGAAGCTGGGCTGCAGGCAACATGAACTCGCCAAGCGTGTAGATGTAGTCTTGGGCTGTTTGTGTTCCCTCAACGAACGCCAATCGAGTCGTTCCATCTGCCCAAATACCCCCCCACACCATGAGCGAGCCACCACCATTTTGACGACTGAAAACTGTAATGACATCACGTCCAACGCAGTGCCAATACGACTTGAGACCATCGGGGCCATCCAGGTTCCACTTTTTCTCATCGGAGAAGACAACCGAGCTCCACTTTTCGTTTCCGTAGTCGACCATTTCAGATGCCCATTCTTTGCGACGAAGCATGTGCATGGGGGTGAGTTTAGGGGCTTTTTTCATCTTAATGAACTCAAACTTGTTGTTGGAGCGTAAGTAGCGGGTAACGGTAGATTTGTGCAAGTCAAGGTCGAGTTGATCGTTGAGTTTTGCAGCACTCAATATCTCGTTGGTACTTGTGCGATACAGTCGCCGCTGTTGTTGAGCGTTGAGCTTCTTCGGGCGACCTTTTTTGTAGTTGTTTCCATACGAGGTGGGGTCCTTGAGATAGTTGGAGATTGTGACATGGTTTCTGTCGAGTCTACGTCCGATTTCACGCA